TTATTAATTAATTTTTTATTTCTTCGAAATTTTTAATTTTTGCTTAAATCACTAACTTTTTAAATATTGACCGAAATTGGTTTTGTTCATTTTCTGGCTGTACAACTTTAAAAAATGTCAGTTCTAAAAATTTAGAATATTTGAATTTTTTTTATTTGAACATGTACTATTTTTGTTTTTTAATCTTCTGCGCAAGTTTTAAAATTTTTTTTTTGCATAAATATTTTCCAAAAATTTCAAATTCATCTCATTAACTCATTGTGAATACCCGCCACTGCTAAATCGTGCCTAACACATGCAGCAAATGCAGCGGCATTCTTTGTTTTGCTCAAATATAAAAGCTATTAAAAACCAACCAACTCGGAACTAGCCACAAAAAATTGTATATAATATTAGATACACAGTGTATACGTATATAAACTATATAGGCATGTATGTATATGTGAAACTCACCTATTAATGCAGAGCAGAGGTATAAAACTGCAAACGCATGCAAACCGCATACGCGCCACCGCTGTTGTTGCTGTTGTTTGTGTTGCCCCATAATTGTAAAGTTGTTGCTGCGTCCCTTTAACTTCGCTGCGCACGTTTAGCGTGTATGCTGTAGTGTCTACTTATATATTTGAGTGCGTGTGTGCTGATTTATTTTTAGCCGCACTGACCGGTTTCACTCTTTTCAAATATCGTCAAAAATAAGCGCACAACACAAAAATTTGCCAAAAAATGTGTGGCGTTTACATTTTTTACAAGCAGGAAAACGGCAATTTGTTGTTGTTTGTTATAGTTTTGTTATAGTAAATTTTTACTCCCAATTAATTTCGCAGCGCGTGTGTTCTTATTCACCGCAAACACTTATTTGTGTTTAAAAAAAAATTGCTTTATTTATTATTTAGCAATTTGAGTTTAGCAGCCACACTTTGCTGTCAGCTGCCGTCAGCTTTCAATCACTTTTGTTGTTGTTGCGTTGCTACTTTTTAAACACTTTTCACACTAGTAATTTTTACTGCAAGTTTTTACCTTTGTTTTCGGTTGTGTTATCGGTTTTTATGACTCGAAAAGCTGTTTGCCGGCAAATTAAACCAATTTGGGATTACAAAAGTAATTTTGTTAATTTACAGCTGCGTTTCGGGTTGTAGCAAGGAAATATGCTGAAATGAATAAATAAATAAAATTTAGTGAACGATAAGAAAACATATTTTTTCGTAAAACAAACAAAAAATAGTGCTCTGCAAAATGTAATAAAAATGGTGTATATATGTAGATATATTGTAAATATTAATTTGAATTTCAAGAATAATTTTTTTCACAAACCTCATAAATTATAATACTGATATGACGCACAAACTTTTGAAATTTGGTTAACAAGTAGATAAAAAAAGTTAAAATTTTGTTTGTGTTTTATTTTAGTTTATTTAATTTTAGCTTACAGGTTGGTCCAGGGCTGTTGAGCACGTTAAAAACGAGCAAAACCGGCAATAAAGAGCGTAATGAGAGTTATCACGTGCTCAGCGACACCTAACGAGTGAGCTTTTAGGCTACATAAATATTGCTTTCGCACAAAAGAACAATTTAGAAAATCTCAAAATTACATTAAACGACTGTACTGACGGGGTAGGTGGAAAAAACTAGTACTGTAATGAAATAACAGGTCGAATTCGTAAACATTGATATTCTAAAGAAAATTTTAGCTTAAAGGGTACGCGTTCCTAAACATCATACAATCTGTATACATATTCTACACTTATAAGTTGCGGGAAGAATGCACCATGTAAAACAAACATTTACAATTATGTATGTAAATGCTGAAAGAAATAATGAAATTCCATCATTAATATGTGAATACTAATAATATTGAACTCAGCGCCACCTATTGAAAAGCTTAAATACAGCACAAGTTGCAGAAGGACGGAAAGACTGTGAATTTTCTTCATATTAGACGAAAGCTCATCAAAAGTATATATCAATTAAAAATTTACAAAAGCTCTTCTGTGCTTTCATTTCCGTAAATTTCGAAAAAATTGGATTCCATCTATTTTGCATGAAAGCAAGTTTTTTTTCTATGCTACGCTAGAAGAACATTTTTTAAAATTAACTTTGAAGCATTTTTTGGTCAACTATTTATTCATATGAAAACAATGAACTTTTACATATTTTATTGTCAATGCTAAGAGCGTGCTTTTAAAATTTTCGAAAAACGTTGTAAGCTTTCAGTTGTAAAATATTTGAAGTTAAATTGCTGAATTTGAATGAAGCTGAAGTTCCATGCATCATAAACAAGATTTCACTAGATTAAGCTCGTATAGATAACAGTATCCAAACTAAAAAAAAAAAAAAATTCAAATTAAAGCTCGGTGTTAAGGAGTGGGCAAACAATGCGTAGGAACACAGTCAACAAATTAAGTTGTTACATTATAGATATTATTAAAGTTGCTAGGAAGCTTTCAAAAGCTTCAAAACGCTATGTAGGCTGTGGTTTGTGAAATTTTTTTGTCAGTAAATTGCTGAAATTGATAAGTTGAAGTACAAATGCTTTCATATATAAACTTTTTACTAGATTAGGCATATAGAGTATATGTAGATTACTTGAAAAAGTCTAAAATGAAAGCTCGGTGTTAAAGTGTTGGAATACTTGGTTGGATACTTGCAATATTTTCTACAGATTTGGCTTATTTACAGTATTTTCTTTAAAAATCAATAATTTAAACAGATTTGGTCTCTTTTGTAACTTAATGAGTTTGTCTAAAGTATAAATATATCAGCGATGATGATTTTTCGGGAAACCTTGATGTCCATCATTTCCTGTATCTGCCACAAAGCAATTCCATCTGCTTTGAATGTATTCTTAACTAGACATAAAAGTTATTGAAATGCTTCAAAAAAACTTCGTGGGCTTTCATTGAAGGGTTAAAATGGTATCAACTTAAACTTGATTTAATCACATTTAAAATAAATCACATCACGGCATTTAAAGCAAAATATTAACAATGAATAATCACTGAGTAATTTAGCTTTAAACGCGCAGTATGTCAATTGTTTGACAACATCACATTTGCACTGCTGTCAAAATAATATGTTGACAGTTGACTTTACAGCAGCGGCATTGCATGCACGGCGACAAGTGGGGTTAACATGTCAGTTAGTGCACTCTGAAGCGTTATAATTTTTGCAGTGAATCTGCAACGCCAAACACGTGTAATTTTTAATGGCGGGAAGCAAACTTTTATGTATTTTAAATATTTTATAACTTTAAAATTTTATGCAAATGCAGGTATGCATATTCTCGCATGCATAATTGAATGAGCTTTCACCTTTAAAAACCGAATGACTAAATGTGCAAGACATTTTACATGCAATATGTACACTCAACCGAATTCCAGGTTTCAACAACAAATGCAACAACAAATAACTGACTGACATTTGAGAATTCATCTCGGGCAAAGCTTGTATGCTGTGGACATGATGACCTATTTTGCTGTCGATTTTTTTTTTGGTAAAGAGTAAATTATACATAAATGCATACTTGTGGAAATAAATATGTATGAGTATGCCTTCATATAAGAGCGCAAAAGTGCATAATGTTGGAGATTGTATGTAAAGGCAAATGTTTCATATAATATTGCGCATGTGTATATAATACTATAGATATCTATGTATATATGTATAACTGCACATTTAGTTAAGCACTTTACAACTTGCCACTTTGCTTTGCTTTTGCCTTTCAACTCCATCACTCACATTTGTAATGTTGCCTCAATTAACCATAAAATCGTAGCGTCGTAAATGGGGCACTTCAAGTGCAGCAACACCAATGTCAGGGGTTATTAGGGCAATTTGATTACATGAGCAACGAAGGGAAGTGTATATGTAATTTAATTTAGTTGGGAGTCGAATGGTAACTCGACGCTAAGTTGGGTTGGATAATTTACCAGTAATGCGTGAAAAATGTGTAGAAATATGCTGTTCCCTCTATTTTTACGCTTATACAGAACATTTATGTATCGCTAAATAAAATTTCTAAATTTGAGAGAGAGTAGTCCGAAATAAACTAGTTCGTAACTAGTTACATATAAAAAAAATTATGATGTTATTCGAGTTCGAATAGCTCGAAATTAACATGCAGGTAAAAAAAACAAAAACAAAAAAAAAAAAAAAACAAAAAAAAAATCTTGATATTCGAAAGGTTTTGTTATATGTTTATGTTATGCATATATGTATATAAGAAGCTGAATATTAATAAATTGCAATTAATAATCACTTCTTCAGTACTTTGCAAATTCCTTATTTGACTTTCCCACGCCTGAATTTTTAACCAAACTAGTGCGCAAGCGCGTTTTTGTACGGCTTCCGTAAATACATGTCTATTTAAATATAATGCATAATATATAATAGTGCTTGACAGCGAAATAAATTTCATTCGAAATGCGCAACAAGATCACCTGTCGGCCTTGTCGCTCGTCTAGTGCAACAAACTCAGTGCGAACGCTCGCTTTCGCTGATCTTCACTACTTTACGCCGACTCATTGCTCACTTCTGGCGCTAATAAATTTTCCTATTGGCATCCTTATTTCGAGCATTTAGATATTTTAGCGCTTGCACGCAACATAAAGTGCAATCGGAATTTATTTATTATGTCAGCGCTAATTGACAGCTTTGGTTGTTTATTGGCAGCAACTGGCGATGTATACTAGTTTTTATGGAAAAAAGTTGCAGAAAAGCTTCTCACACAATAAGGCACTTATTTATTTAGTGAAAACGATCACTCTAAATTAAGGATAACACTTTTAGTAGAGAAAGTAAATCGATTGTTGCATAAGCTAAATTTACGAAACTTGAGTTGTTGATTAGATTGGAATGCCTAAGGATGGCGGAGGATTAAACTTAGACAGCTAGATAAGAAAACGAGGATTGCACCGCGGCCTAAGGTCTATTGTGCTATATACAGTCCTTTTTGAAGCCAGCACCCAGTGTTTTTAGTATTTGAAACGAAAAATAATTATAAGGATTATATTTGAGAGAAAAAAAGTTTACTAAAATAAATATAACATTAATAAATACATTAAAAGATGAAAAAAAAAAATTTTTAAATGCATTATTTCAAAAATATTATTTAACGGTTTAATTCATTCAACCACTTAGTGCAATAATTATTATTTTTATATATATTATAATTTTATTTTTATATTCGGTATTATTCTAATTTTTTCGTAAATAGTTAATTGAAAAACGCTTTTCATTCAACAATTGATTATTTGTAATGAAGAATCGCTTGATTGAGTTCCCATCAAATGCTAATAGACTAGCAAGCATAAATAATAAACAATCAAGACGCATTGGCTGCATGATACTAACATAAACATAATGTATTTGTTTTCGCAAATCAATTGTATGCTATGTACGTATGTGTGTGTGTGTGTGAATAAAAATCGAAAAATTGTGAATTGTAAATAAATGAAAGCCTGTGAATGCAAACAAACGCGAATATGGCAATATGAGAATAAAGGCATGCTCTCATTACGGCTTTCATTTTGTTGTTGAGTATCATGTGACTTCGAAAAAAAAAATTTTTTTTTTAATTTAACGGTAAGTGGAAAAAAAATAATAAAAAACAATCAAAAAGGTATACATATTTTTTTTTTTAATTCTCTAAATTTTAAAAAAGAAACTTTGTCTTATAAAAAAGTTGAAAAGAAAAAT